AAACGATCAGTTTCATGACAAAAAGTTCTCCTGTGTGTCCACATTCATCCTTATCATCGTCAGTTTGTGGTGGCGAACTTGCAATACGCGACAGCAACTTGCCCTAACCAAAACGTTCATTACTTATTTCACGGCACGTGGTTAAAGGCAGGTGGCTGCAAAGGTCGAGCTCTAATAACGACTTTCATCCCATTTTCTTTACATGGGGAGTACAGGAGCGAATAAAGACAAGTACATGAGCCTATTATACGAAAGAAATCTGCTGACGTGCAATTCCCATCAGTTGTCTATTGAAATATAAAGTTAAAGTATTTGGTAAATATTCACTTCACTCGCTCGTTGATTCTGGTTACCACATTATATTGCGCAAACTGATACCCTTATTTATTATACAAATGCAGATGCTAACACAAAGATTTTTTTAAACAGTGATACAAAAAGAGCTACTGTAGACTGAAAACTACAACTGAGCCACAACTTTTCACGACACGAGAAAACTCCAGAACTGACAAAGAATTGTAACGAGAGCGCATGATGAGGAAAAAATAAGAGCTTCATTACATTGGAACATCACAAATGAAACAAACCATTGGTCAACACAAGTCACGCTTAAAATGCCACATCGTTGAGCACTGGTCAATAAATACACAAACTATCATGAACTGAGGAACATTGTATCATTTCACGCAGGACATTTCCACATTTTACCTCATTCAAAGGCAACCCATGGGCTTGATTTCGTCAAGCCATGCAGCAAAAGTAGTTAGCTAATTTCATTAACATAAGTGAGCTATAAAGCTGTGTCATTTCTATGGAATATTGCTGTCTCGCTACAAATGAAGCATTGGCAACAAATAGAACGAAGTGATTCTATTTCGCACCAACGGGCATAAAGCCTTCTCACACTTTGTTCATGAACTTGCGCGTGAATTGTGCTTTCTGTGAAAAATATCCTTCTCGTTTCGGTAAACTAAGAAGCCTACCTCATTGTTCCTATGAGTGCTACGGTCTATTCATTGCAATTAACTTTTCATCTAATACCAGTGTCACGTGTTTTACTGCTGACCATGATTTGGCCCGATCGAAATTGAATTTGACTATTGTGATTGGGGTCCATTCTGCTTCTCGCGTAATGGAGCCAAGCAGAAGTTTTGGTCGACCATCGTAGCCGAAGTCGACCACCACTTCCACTACGACGCCCTGGCCAGTGTTTTTTATACAACCACTCGATGTTGTTTATTCGCTCTGAAATTATAGTGAGACACTAACACCCCAACCTTTTATTTCACAGGTAAATGAAATTATCAGCGTCCTCGGCGTATTAGATTGCAGAACCAATCGAGTTAGCTACTACTTCAGTGTAATTGTCCTAAAATAGAGCACTTAATTTTTCCGAGATACAGGCTCTTTGTGGCGCTCTTTTATATATTCCAAGCTCGCTGCCTAAACAATTTCATTTTTTATACGTCACATCACTTGAAGTATGTACATATGATGTTGAGAACGTTGAAATAAGGCTGCAATAAAATAAGTAACACACAGCACATACCATTTCGACAAAAAACATGAGATGCTGGTTTCTTACTCTAGCTGCCACGAAACACTCCCTTCTAACGAAACAAACATGCTTAGTGAACACAAGCAAATGAGAAACATTATGCAACCAGAAACATCGTTTCACTAATGAACATGACGAGCCTTCACTCTGGGGAACATTTGCAAGTAGAATGATTCCAAATCGTTCTTGTCTCGACACTCTGCAAGATTGTACAATGTTTTTCCGACTTCCGTGAAAGCATCCTCCACTTTAGCCTTGCGCCGTCGGATTGTTTGATGAGCCTGATGATTGACACCTGGCTCGAGGCACAATCTTCAGCTGTATCGGTGGGTCAGGCTCCAGGAGGACCTTTCCTTTGGCGAAAGAAAGGGGAACCTGCAAGGAACAAGTGTTTAGTGTAAAGCCATAGTACAATGAAACGAGAAAGTGTGCTTCAAAGACACCACATAAACATTTTTCTGAAAAAAAAACTGCAGATAAAAGTGAACCGAAATAAAGCAGAATTCTTCATCGTATGCACATCCGCTGCTTAGCATTGTGCACGTGAAACAAACAAGGAAAATTATATTTAACCGAAATAAAACAGAATCCACCCTGATATGCCCACTATGTTTACGTGATATTTAAACCCACTGCTTAGCCTTGCACACATGACACAAACCAGAGATAATAAACTGAACTAAATAAAAAGAAAACATTCATCTATATGTGCACAAACACGGCTTACTTGACATATACACTCACAGCTTAACATCACACACATGATAAACAACATATAAAAAATTGAGCTGAAATAAAACAGAATTCACCCTGATATGCTCACAATTTTTTTACGTGACAATTACACTCAGTGCTTAGCATGACGCACAGATCTCTGTGATGAATCACCCGCTCCCCTCCCAAACCCCCTCACAAAAAAAATTGGTGCACATATACCGATATATTTTCGACGATTGAAGAAAGCACTAGTGTGTAAAGGAATCGCTGTCTAATGTAGCAGGCTAGAGCAAGCTATCGCTCAGGCCTACCTCTCCGCCTTTCTGTGAATAAGCTTATCTCTCTCTCTCTGTCTAGTGCGTTCTGATTGCTCATCTCCAACGGTAATTTTTTTACACGGTGAGAATATATCTCTAATGTTGGTATGTGATGAAGGTATATTAGGAGTGAGCATTTGTTGCATGTGCGTGAAGCATCATCGTGAATAAACAAATAAAGTCGCTGACATTTGCAAACACAATCGATTTCACGAAAGCCAACTGCTTTATACCAACAGGTAGAAACGACTTTTATTGAAAACGGCAATATTAGGAAGGATGGGCTTCCCTCTTTAGGTGGCAAACAATTATTCATTATATTTTGTCTGTTTATAGAAAAACGTAATATGAGCGCTTTAGGCTTGACTGGGTAACAGATAACTTTGTTGTGCGAATTAAGATTTCTCTAGCGTATTTACAATTGCAATACATACCAAAGTAGGAAAAAGCAAAAACCTGTAAATCTTTGCTTCAGCGCCTGAAGCAAACAACGGTCCACTGGGAACATCCTGCAGTTACACCGGTTCCATCCATCATCCTTGTTTATTCGTGCATGTAAATTTTCCCTGTCATGGCTCTGTTTCAACGCATCAATTACTGTCTTCTTAATTACATATCCCAATCTATGCATTCATCATCAGTTAGACGCGTTTATTTTTAGCATCATCACTATCATCATCATCATTACGAGTGTTCAAGTGCCGCTCGGTAACGGCCCTGATTCAGCGCTTTCATAATCATATATCACTGTCTCCATCGTTAACGCGTTTTTTGAAGCGAAGCAGCTTATTGACGAGCCTTGTCACCCCCTTATGCAGCCGTGACATGCTATAGTACTCGGAGCGCCCGCTAGAGGCACAGTGGTAGCAGCGTTCGCACACCTTAACACAATATACGCCATATGACCAACAAAACAACATTGCATATACCGTACACACATCTTGGGTTGCATATGCAAGCTCAACTTGTCAGTGTACGGAAGAATCACGGTTACTCGAATGATCATCAAAGCCTCGTCACTCATCATAATTCACTTCGTTAATATGTGGCGATGTTCTTCTTATGTTCAGCACTTTCATCATCACATGATTATTATCAACATCCAAGGCTAATTTGCTTGCTCGCAGCTCTAGATCAACGTGTTCGTCAACATCTTTATCGTCGTTGATCTTCGTTAGGAGTTTGTTCATGGTTACTCTCAAACTTAACGCATTCATCACGAACAGTAGCATTGTTCCAGAGGCCGTTGCTTGTTGAAAGCCCTGCTTCAAGGCGCCCATTATCGGTGCTCTCCAAGTCTAGTCAGCTCAAAAAATGCTGCATGTATGTCTAAATAACTTGATGAAAGTCTTGAATAAAGCAAATAAGTTTAGAGGACTTCTAAAATGAGTATTTAGCTATATAATATATCATGTTTTGCGCATAGTCGTATGGCAATGAAGGAGGTCCTACTTCCATGTGATATATCAGCTTCTTACACAAACTCGGTATGCCTTATTAGTAGGTGCTTATTATCGGTGCTCTCCAAATTTTGCCAGCTTGAAATACACAACATGTTTGTTTTGCTCACTTAATCTACGTTCTGAATGAAAGAAATAAAATTTGAGTAGCTTTTAAAAGCGCATTTAGCTATGCTATAGATAATTTTTGTGCATAGCCGCATAAATAAACAAAGAGGCTCAAAGCAAATGGTGTTCTGCCCGCTTCTTACACAAACTCAGTATGCCTGGCATCCACGAACATGCACGCCACGGAAACAACGAAAACCTGCAAGATTTTGGTCGCTCAGAATGGAACAAAAGTAAGACAAAGATAAACCCGAGTTTTCCTTGAGTGAAGCAACATTATTTCAAAACACCTACGAATTTAGAGTGAGCTTATAAATGTACGCACACAACTCTCTAGGCAACCTCAGAAGAGCGCCATTGTTCTCTGTGTACTTGCCACTGTTGGTTGTTTTCATAAGTTTCCGCATACAAATGCTTTTTTATAAAATGCTGAAGTAACACCAACATTTGAGATCAATTTCAAGACATTTCACTGGCTAGCCTGATGTCACTTCACTAAATCATTTTGTCCCCATAAGTGTACGCTTAGTTATAGAAGGTTAGGTTGAACAAACATTGAAATCCTTTGAAGCGGCATGCCAACAAAGGCATTTATAAAAAAGAAATATGCTCAGTGTTTGCCGTATAAACCTATGCCGCGTAGAATCCACGTTAGCGCTTTTTTGCCCAGTCATTACTAAGCCTCATGTTATTTGTTATTACGAATACCACTGGTTTTAAATTTTGTACCGAAACCACTACATAAGAGCTGTGAGATCTAACACGTTGAATTCTTCTCTAAAATGGATGCTAAATGCAAGCTCTGCCGGCTTAGAAGAAGTCATTCTGATTAACTTACCTGTGTTTCGGCGCAGGGTTCGAAGGTAACGTTCTGCAGGAGGCGGTAGAGAATGTACTTCACTTGTACCATGCCCATGCGCATGCCGATGCAACTCGAGGACCCACTCCGAATGGAAGATACGTGTAAGTGTTGATCGAATCCTTGTGCTCCGGCAGGAACCTGTTCAAATAGAAATCGCTCCTTTTAAGAGCCTGCTTGTTAGGTTCTGCCTAAAAGTTCTCGCTATCGAATTCCAGTCAAGTGCAAGTCCAATACGACTTTTTTTAAATAACTTTATTGTAGTTTGAAGCTTCTTCATTTCATATTTTATTATGATTATTCGCTCTTGTATTATGTCTGCTTAAGTTAAAGAATCCTTCAGTGATAATAATGAAGCTATTACATTATATTTTTTTTGAAAAATCATGTTTCACACATCTCTACCCTCAGATTGGGTTGTCTGAAAATTTTGACGAACAAATTGATAGCGCTCCATTCAACTCGGTAGTCTTTGAAATGGTGCATATTATGGACACAAACTATCTTCAAATATTCTTTGAATAATATAAGCATCCATGAAAAATCCCGAAGAAATGAAACGTTGGAACAGAGAATGGTAACGTACTTTGTTTTAGTCATGGAATCTACAAGTTGTGTACACCTTAACGCTCTAATAATGAATGGATGAGGGCAGGCTACATTGATTGCAGAATGACGTTACAGATTCACCAGAGCTACATATTGATCAATACTTTATCTTCATTATGACCTTCATAATGATGTTAACCCGGGAATATTGTTGAAGATTTCTCTATCAGTATTACTTAGGGGCTGTTTGCAATGTGCCACTTCGAGACATTTGAACCAGCTGTTTTTCAATCAGCAGCTGTATTTCACAGCTCTATTTAAACAAACAGTTAAGAAATTATTTATAATTGTCTGGTTGCTGCTGTATACGTGCCTACCAGAGTTTTCAAAACGACGGTATTTTCCATCAGGTGAAAAGCAATTGTAAGGTTTTTTGTTATGGCCCATTAATATCTTTAAAAAAAAGTGTAATTTTTGAGCTGTCAGAGAAGTTGTTAAATCACCATACTAGAGCTGCTTTGAAAAATGGCGTGCTTATTATTTGAAGCGTTCGACTGGTATTTGATTCGATTTGGTTTCGATTCAGTTCCAGAGGTCACTATTCGCATGCTGTTAATGTTACGGCGTTTACCATACAAATACACACAATTTACTATATTCAGCGGTTCACCTTTTGTTTTTTAACATTGGAGAAGGCTCGTGAATTAGTAGGAGCTTCATTAGTCACAGTTGCAGCATTTCTGGTTTTTCGTGGGGATTAACTAAAAGTGTACCTAATAGAGGCCTCCTGATAGCGGCGTGGCGATCTTGTAAAAGCTAGCTTCGTGCGCCTTAGTTGTAGGTCTATTTTTCTTGAATAGTTTTACAGCTGAAAACTCAAATATAGAGACTTCAAGCTTGTTTTTTTTTTTAATTTCAAGAATACTTCTGCGTCTTGTTCAACCACAGTCCATCTTACCTTTGTGGCTTGAAGCTCTCTGGTTCTGGGAAAAATTCAGGGTCGTAGTGCATCGCGTGCGCGGGAATCTCTACGCGCATACCAGGCGTGAAACGGACTCCAGCGATCGTTGTGCTTTGCGAGCATATCCTCGTGAGCCTGAAATAAAAAAAGAGGAGGGCAGTGGTTACAACAATTGCCCGTGAGGGGGTCCTGTCAGTAGCGCCTCAGCACTGATTAAAGTTCGTTCTCTGTCTGTCTGTCTGTCTGCCTGTCTGTCTGTCTGTCTGTCTGTCTATTTATCTATTTATTTATTTATCTATCGATCTATTTGCCTGTCTGTCTATTTGACTATCTATCTATTTATCTATCTGTTTGTCTGTCTGTCTGTCTGTCTATCTATCTATCTATCTATCTATCTATCTATCTATCTATCTATCTATCTATCTATTTATTTATTTATCCGTCTATTTGTTTATCTATCTATCTATCTATCTATCTATCTATTTATCTATCTCTTTTTGTATTTATCTATCTCTTTATCTATTTGTCAATCTTTTTTATGTATTTATCTATCTATGTATCTATTTATCTACGTATCTATCTGTCTATCTATCTATTTATTTATCAGTCTGTTTATCTATTTATATATCTATTTATTTATCTGTCCGTTTGTCTATCTATCTATCTATTTATCTATCTATCTATCTATCTATCTATTTATTTATCTATCTCTCTATGTATTTATCTATCTCTTTATCTATTTATCTATCTCTTCATGTATTTATATATCCATGTATCTATTTATCTATGTATCTATCTGTTTATATATCTATTTAGTTATCGGTCTGTTTGTCTGTCTATCTATTTATATATTTATTTATCTGTCTGTTTGTCTATCTATCTATATATCTATTTATCTATTTATCTATCTATATATCTATTTATCTAGGTATCTACCTGTTATGTAACTATCTTTTTATCTATCTGTCTATCTGTTTATCTATCTATTTATTTATCTGTCTGTTTTTCTGTCTGTCTGTCTGTCTGTCTATTTATCTATCTATCTATCTATCTATCTATCCATCCATCTATTTATCTATCTCTTTATCTATTTATCTGTCTATATATCTATTTATCTATGTATCTATGTATATATCTATTTATCTATGTATCTATCTGTTTATCTATCTATCTATCTGTTTATCCATCTATTTATTTATCTGTCTGTTTGTCTCTCTGTATGTATGTTTGTCTGTCTGTCTGTCTATTTATCTATTTATCTATCTGTATATTTGCCTGTCTGTTTATCTACCTATCAATCTATCTTTCTATATATCTATTTATCTATCTCTTTATGTATTCATCTATCTATGTATCGATCTGTTTATCTACCTATTTATTTATTGGTCTGTTTGTCTGTCTGTCTATCTATTATATATCTATTTATTTATCTGTCTGGTTGTCTATATATCTATCTATCTATCTATCTATCTATCTCTCTATTTATCTATCTATCTGTGTATCTATCTATCCTTCTATCTATCTATTTATCTATCTCTTTATGTATTTGTCTATCTCTTTATCTATTTATCTATCTCTTATGTATTTATCTATCTGTGTATCTATTTATCCGTGTATCTATCTGTTTATCTATCTATGTATTTATAGGTCTTTTTGTCTGTCTGTCTATCTATTTATATATCTATTTATTTATCTGTCTGTTTGTCTGTCTGTCTGTCTATCTATCTATCTATCTATCTATCTATCTACCTATCTATCTCTTTATCAATTTGTCTATCTATATATGTATTTATCTAAGTATCTATCTTTATATCTATTTATCTATGTATCTATCTGTTTATATATCTATTTATCTGTCTGTTTGTCTGTATGTTTGTCTGTCTGTCTGGCTTTTTATCTATTTATCTATCTATCTATTTGCCTATCTATCTATCTATCTATCTCTCTATCTATCTATATATCTATATATCTATATATCTATATATCTATATATCTGTCTGTCTGTCTCGTAACTCCGTGCATATATGCCCACGCTCAGAATGTATTCGGCAGCATTTTGTTTTGTTTAGTGGTGCCACTCGGCAGGATATCAGCCGGGACGAGAATAGTTGTAGCCAATACACGATGTCTCCAATTTCTAGACTTACTTGTGGCGAATAAATGGAAGAATACTGCGTTAAGTTTGCCCTCCAAATTAGTCACACGACTAATACAACACTCATTTGCAGATATCAAGGCACAATGTCAATACTGTAATAATTACTAATGCTTCAGGTGCCAAGACCTCGATGAGATTGTAAGGCGCGACAATGCATATGATACCGGGTAGATTTCGACCAGCTACACTTGTTAATCGTGCACATGAATCAAGTTGCCCTAGGAGGTCCCGCATTTACCCCTTTTTCGAAATGTGGCCATATTACTTATAACATAGCAGTGTGGCCCCGCCGCGGTGGTCTAGTGGCTAAAGAACTCGGCTGCAGACCCGCAGGTCGCGGGTTCAAATCCCGGCTTCGGCGGCTGCATTTCCGATGGAGGCGGAAATGTTGCAGGCCCGTGTACTCAGATTTGGGCACACGTTAAAGAACCCCAGGTGGTCAAAATTTCCGGACCCCTCCACTACGGCGTCTCTCATAATCATATGGTGGTTTTGGGACGTTAAACCCCACAAATCTATCTAACATAGCAGTGCGACATATGGCAGTGTGTAATATATAGTCGTGCCCTCGACATTATAGCAGTGCGACATCAAATTAACTAAGCTACCATTTTGAGTCATAGCACGCACAGATGAAAAAAAAATTATTTACAACCAATAAATCTGTGTTATTACTTAATTGTAGACCTGAAACTTCACTTCGATGAAAAGCGAATAGAGCACTAACAGTTTCCGCTGCTTGAAATTCATGTTATACCACTTTTCATTTAGGCAGGCATCTTACAAATAATAACTGGGATAGAAGCAGGCGGCTTATTGCCTTCTTTATTGCCGTAATAATGCTAGAAGTAGGTCAATATTTTGGTTCATTCGAATTTACCGCCACATGGCATATGTCGTTTGAAAAGTAATACTGCTACCAGAGCAGAAGTTCCAATTTATGACGTTCCTAACACCAAGATCGACCCATACGTTATGTGTCATCGTGCTACCTATATTTAGTTGTATAGTGTAAATGTGTAAGATGTCTTTACTAATCACAATGTGAAACTAAAAATAGCATTGTTTCAGAAAGCGCTATGAAAATGAAGAAACGTTATTCACACCACTGCTTGGCGTTGTCAGTCAGCAACATTTATTTATCTTTTGGCATGTCATAATACCTTGGTCGCGGTGTATGATATTTGTTGACTGATTTGTCCTTGTCTTCCGCCCCTAAAAATAGTTTTATACTAATGTGACAGCCCTCTTACAGTCCACGTGAGCTTATGGGTATAGTATAACAGTTGTGCTGATTTGCGTGTGCATATTCTCCGCTAGCATTTGACTGTTCCGAATAATCTCTCATAAGTAAAAACAATAGCCATGGCAAGACCGAATGAAATGCCACTCGTGAGGATGACACCTGTGTTTGCTCACACCTGATGGTGTGATCACTTTACATTGTTTCGTGATGTTCACTTACACTGACGTCGGTGAGTACATCCTCAGCGTTTCGCTGACCACAGCGTCGAGAAGTACCATTGACCGTAAGAGTTTCGTACGTGGCCTCGTCCTATTAGAGAAACAATACAATAGAGAAAAAAATGCAGTATCCAGAAAACTATCAAGCAGTAGAAGCGAATTGTTTATTATTATTATTATTATTATTATTATTATTATTATTATTATTATTATTATTATTATTATTATTATTATTATTATTATTATTATTATTATTATTATTATTATTATTATTATTATTATAATTAACCGTTTTTATGAGCCTGACTGCTTAAATATACAACCAGTTCTACTGTATAAAATGCCCTTGAAGCGCGTTTCTTTTACAGACTGAATAGCTCCTTCATGGCATCCCTTCAGCTGTTAGTGAAACAAGATAGTTTGGTATAATCCTGACAACCCCTACTCACTAACATTAGATATCATTTGGGTTCTCGAGATCTTTTCCAGTCAACTTCGACTAGAGGATTCTTTAACGAGTTTTTTCAATGCTGATATCCTTGGAGATATTATTGGTGGGCCATCTGCAACTACGTTCATAGCCCGCCATATGGATATGAGAAAGTATCCAACTGCTCATCTTTATTAATGCAACGTCTGACAGGACAGCTAACATTGTACAAATAAACTTCGTTTAAAATTAAAAAGAACACTTATTATCATTAATCTCATGACATCACACAAACACCAATTTTGTTCCTATTATTTTTACGCCTTAACCACGTCTTATGCATTACCCTTTAGAGAATTCCTGCAAATAACACAGTGAACAGAACTGAAACTTACTGCACACGAGTTAAGCCTACAGCAGCAGATAGAGAAGTATGTTCTTGACTGATATGAACAATAAGCCCTCTTTTCGTAGAAACGTGCATTTTTCGCAATTTTAATTAGCGGTGATACCCAGTGCTGCTAGTTAACATCATCGGCTGACTTCGTGCAAGTTGTCTATAGCGTTTTCCATCATGCTGCTTGCTGCCATCCCACCGCAAAATGCATTTGCCTTCTGTAGTGGATCACGGGCTTAGGATAAGGACACTGGGATAAAAATGCACTGATAAGAGAGCCAGTTGTGAAGCGGCGCTGTCCTTGCCGCGAAAAAGCAGTCGCACACTTGCGTGTTTCCCTTGTATATACACACACACTTACCGCGGCGTCAACTTCTTTTATCACCGCCTCTTGAATGCCTGGGTGCAGAGCCAGCGAGTATGCCGCGCATGTCACAGTCAGAGCTATAGAGTCGCTCCCAGCGATAAACAGGCACATGCACTGAGCTGAGATGTCGTTCATGGCAGATTCTACAAACAAACGTCAATAGGACGTCAAACAGTGATAGGAAGTGCTATGCGGAGAATGTAGACAAATCTGAGAGCCTTGTCCTTCTATTCTTTTTCATCTATAGAACAAGGTATTCATGACGATAACGTTCGTAAAAAGAGGGGTGGGTAGACTCTGTTTTTTCTTTCGTTGTAACTGTTTACGAGGATGTTCACGGGCAGCTAAATTCCCTACTGAAAAGCGAAATAGTACGTTCGCACTCTTTGAGTGCGCGTTATACAAGAGCAACGCCAATTAACAGTAGCCGCTTTTTTCTTGTGCGAAGCCAATGCAACACACAAAGATCAGCCGCATTGGAAAAATGCAAATCATCTTTATGAATATTTGTTTACCAACTGTTGTATGAACGAAAAGAAACGTTTAGGCAGCATCTATTGTACAAAACTAGTTGACGCAGTGATCAATATAATTGTTAGTCAATAAATGCGTTTCATTAGGGCAATAAAAAATGTAATAGCATCGTAACAACACTGGAGAGAGTAAGACCTTACACATAGTTTTTAGTTTGCAGAAACGATACAAGGGCTTTGTATAACCCTTTAAATCATCAACTATTTTTCCAAGCGCATGGAAATGGAAAACTACCTGGTAGTTGAACACCTCCTTTTCCATTTTGCTGCATCTTAGTGTCCATGTACATTTGGAGTGCATCATCATGTTTCTGCGCAAAAATAAAAAAATGATAGTATCGGTAAGTCATGAGGAACTAGCAGAAAACACAAGATTCCTGTACTACTGCGCCAGAGACATTATTCTTTCCAACGTGTTTATAATAAACACCACAAATATAGTAATAAGCAACATATAGAGGATAAACATATTCATTTATTCCTAACTACTTCATTAATCCCAATTACGCATTTCGGCTCCACCTGAGATAAACAGCCATTACTTCGTTAAAAGCATCGCTACTAATTGTCGTGACCACTTTTCAGAACATCTTTCAGTTTTATTTTTTTCCACTGTGTTCGACATACATAAAAACAATTTTTCTACAAAGTTTCTACAAAGTGCTGAGGACACATATACGACACCTTGCTCGAACCCCTCGACATCACCTAGCCTCTCTACCAGTGGTCCGACCATGCACGTCTTACTGCAAAACAGTGACCGCACATGGTGAGTCGATCCCAACTTCGTTCTCTCCTGCCGCTAGACCTGTGACTCCGCCATGGTGCCTCGCTCGACCAATGATTAATATTAACATACCTGGCGTCCAGAAAAAGGCCAATTTGTCGTCACCGGCTCTTAAACAGCTCACACTACTTCTCTTGTATGAGAAATATCAAGACTCCACACATATATACACTGACGGATCGGTTCAGCCGGACAGCTCTACAGGAGCAGTAGTGATACCAAGGTTGGCCACGACAATTAAATTCGAGACATCTCACGCAACAACATCAACGGCAGCAGAATTGGCAGCACTTCGTGTCGCGTTGCAATTTGTAGTTGATCAACCTACACGCAAGTGGACTATTTTCTGCGACTTGAAGGCGGCACTGCAGTCTCTACTATCAGCCTTACGCCGTGGACCACACGAGCAGCTGGTACTAGAGATAGCAGAGGTTATGCACCACCTGACTGAGAAAGGGCACCAAATTACATTTCAGTGGTTGCCCAGTCACTGCGGAATCATCGGCAATGAACGGGCCGATCAAGCTGCCCGCTCAGCCCACACAGAAGATCATAAACTGCGACTACCACTTTCTAGGACAGATGCTGCACGAAAGCTCCGCAGGCTTGCTCGCCAGCAAACCACATCACAATGGAATCAGCCACACTTCAAGCATGCCCGACTGTACTCGCTTGACCCTACGCTAAGTCTTCAAGTCCCGTCGAGGCTTTGCCGAGCAGACCAGACCCTGTTATGTAGGCTGTGGTTGGGCGTTGCGTTTACCAACGCCTACGCTTTCCGCATTGGGATGGCCGACACCGCAGCCTGTGGCCACTGTAGCAAAGAGGAAACAATCGAACATATTCTTTGTGACTGCCTAGCGTATAGTAAACAACGACTATGCCTTCGCAAGGAGCTCAACAAATTAGATGATCAACCTCTGTCGGTGCAGGGAATTCCGCAGTATCGTCAGGATGCGACTTCACAGAAGAGGGCCCTGAAAGCGCTACTACACTTTTTGCGATCGACCGGCCTTACTGAACGGTTGTAGCTAGGACGCCTTTCCTGTGTGTGTTTTCGTTTTTTTTTATGAGTGCGCGTGCGTTTTTTTTTTCTCTTTCTACCCCCTCTTTCTTGCCCCTACTTCCCCGCCCCCAGCGCTGGGTAGCAAACCAGATGCCAATATCTGGTTAACCTCCCGACCTTTCCTTTCTTACTCTCTCTCTCTCTCTCTACAAAGTTTATGAGGAAGAGGCATGTATCGTTACTTCTCGAGCAGAAAAAAGAAGACATCAGCCTTGCCACCCACCAGCTACACTAAAACACTACTCTGCACCTTTAGTTTCACGTTGCCAACAGAAAATAATTGTCTACCCATCCTGGCTGCTTTGTAAACTTCGCTCCCCCTCTCTTCCCACACACTGTTTTATACCCTCCGCATCCCTCCGTAGCCATCTTTAATGAGTTGTCATGCATCGTAGACGCAAATGTCTAGCTCAGTAAATTTTTATTTAATTATTTTTTGTACATGTGTGTAAAAAATGGTCACAAGTTGTAAACCTTCATAGTCTCGACAAGACCAGTGGTTTTTGGACCAGTCATTCTTCGCGCATATATTGTTACTACATAACGTGAGCTCCGAGAATTTTTTCTTTTTTTTTCTTTGGCGAACGATGAAGTATCATGGCACATATAGCATCGCCTGAAACTATAATAGGCGTGGCTATCGAAACATACCTCGTTTGCACGTAGCCGCCGTTCAATTAGATGTTTCGTGAAATCCAACGCGTACTGGGAGTCGCCTTTGTTTGGAAATTCCACCCTGAATGCCTTGAAAAGTCTGGGGAGTGTGGCTGAAACAGAGCGAATGGGGCGAAATAAAGAAAAAAATCAGAATGTAATGTAAAGTGTCTTTCATTTTGACACGTGGTACACAACAATAAAGTGCACTGCTGATTCTTCTAGGAGACACTCTAGGCACGCTATGACAAATGTTCGGATGCCATGGCCCCCAAATCTTCGAGTTAGGAAACGGTTGCGGTTAGGTATCGCACACCGACGCAATTCCGCCAAAGAAACGTCAGCAACGAATTCTTCCTATAGATTTGAGGTACTGTTTTAGCGGTACGCTGAATTGAAAGGTGAACACCCTTCGTACGAGAAAACATCCGTAGAATCCTTGAGCAATTGCTTCTGAATTTAGCACTGTTCATCGCGGCGCAATGTAACTCCTGTTAGCCGACATGTATGATAATATCCGTTGTGAAACAGTAAGCAAAAAAGGGGTCAATGACAACATTTGCTTCAAGAGCGTTTCCTAGTGGGATGATAATAACATTCTCCACAGCAGACAGCCAGTGCTGTCGACAGCCAAATTTCTTCTTTTTCATAAACCAAAGTAGCCCATTCATCTACTTGTTCCAAGTGCTTTCAAGTCCTGAAAAAGTCGTAGAGGGGAGCAGCAAAAGTTAGATACGCATACACTTGAAAACACACACACACACACACACACACACACACACACACACACACACACACACACACACACACACACACACACACACACACACACACACGCACGCACACGCACAGAGAAAGAGAGAGAGAGAGAGAAAACTGAAGATTTGAAGCTGTTAGCACCCGGGTCGACAGATGGAAGTAGGAAAGCGGTTGCCGTTAACATTTGTTCCAGGGATGATTAAAAGTATACCGTTTTTATAGCAAGGACCCACTAGTTCTATAGCACATATGAAGTATACACAGATGGACATAAACGGCTTTTACAAAAATTGTGTTAATCGTGATAACATTTCGGAAAGATTCGGGCGGGAGCTCTCGGCTCTTTCAAAGACTGGGCATGCAGTTTAAACTGAGCCCGATCTATGGGATACTGACACCGCGCCACTCGCAAATTAATATGGAGTGGATTAACTTACAGTACTTCCCAAAGGGTAACTAGAGAAGTCCCAAAATAGAGAAGTCCCAAAATTTCAGGACGCTGTGATTTAGCTCTTCCGAAGAACACAATAGAACTACATCACAATGCAAAAAATGTACAAAGTAGCTTAAATTTGGGAACTATCACGCGTCCGTTGGCCAGAATGACAGGTATTTTCCAGCTTTGCTCTAACAAGTGTTTTGTAAAGGGTGAGTCGAGGTTCAAATCGCGCAGAGATGATATTACGGCGCAGGTAGTGAAGCATGTGGTTGGTGTTGTTATAAATGCAGTCGATGTGGTTATGTCAAGATAGGCTGCTTAGTCATTTGTGGACCAACGTATGTCTTGTGTGTTGCTGGAGACAGAGAAAGACCATGACGATATAGCGTAAGTTTAAGTATCGTTATAGGTAATGCTAGATATGGACATGACAGTCAACCATAACAAAAATATGGCTGTAATCAATCCAGGGCACAGGTTCACTGGTGTAAATGCTTGCCTGAAACGTGGCAATGGCTAAATGAACCTTAATGAATGCATTGAAAATGCGCTCATAACTCAAGATTGTTTACATTTCGCGTATTTTCTTATCACCTCCTTCGTTGAGTGACTATGATCTGTGTTCGAGCAGCATGTGTGAAACTTTGCTTGGTCTTTCGAGGACTGATTTTTAAGGTGGTGCTAATTAGCGATTGCCTTTGTGAGGCCTTTGTAGGCAACAAACTGTAATCTGGTCGGCCTGCAGTTTCTCAAGTCTTTTATGTCCCATTTCATATCAGGGAAGATGACATTAGAATTCTACCAAAATCATGGCACGCTCACACTTAGGAGCCGTTGCCTATACAGGCAGGCCCGTTGTCGTTTCTTTTTAATTTCTTAACAAACTGCGCACCCTATTTCAAAAGCCCCGTGACTGCCTGATTTTCATCAGCAACTTCGCTCCTTATAATTCTCTCGTGGGCTTCCTTTATTTCCACTGGTGTTGGAAACAAGAAAAATGCTTTTCACCTGGAGTATGCATATAGTCATAACATTGATACTGATGCCGACTTTAATGTTGGAAACACTCACTCATCATGAGAAGTCTCCAGCCACCCGGGGCACTGAGAAAGCCACTGTAGCATTTGAGCATTGGATGTTCAGTGTCGACGTGGCTGTCAATGTCCAGATCAAAGATCAGTGATGTGTACAAGTCCATGGCCGACTTTTCCAGCAATCTAGTGAGAGACAGATTTGTGTAAATGTGGGCTCTCAAGTTTGCGTTATCACATGCTTATCCTGTTCGGGTGCAGAAAGGCTTGTTTAGTACCACGTTTAAAACAGCAGGTTTTCAGTGGAATATGTCAGGTTTACACTTTCGACGTGCAAACCATAAAGACACGTAGGAGAGGAGCAGTGTGTATTGAATCCTTAAGTACTACCACGTCATGAAAGGGTTGCTGCTCAAGTGCAAAGCGAGCTTGTGGTATAAAGACAACAGCTGCACGATAGGGCCTGCATTGTATCAATTGTTGTATCCGGTCTGCAGCATTCAGTTGGCAATATTCATAATTAAAAATATTACTCACTGACAGAGATTCGCTGGCTGCCTCGTATTAAGCTTCGCCAGGAGCAACTTTGTAAATCTGTCCATTGTCTTGGTCATCTTTGGCACCATCTAGAGATTAACAATCGAAAAAAAAGGGCCTGCTTCGTAGGATTCGCAGATATCACAAAGGTTATTGCACGTTGGCTGACCACTGAAACCGAACTTACCGATTTCAATTTGGCCGTTGTGAACATTGGAGACAACGAGCTACGTGTATTTTTCCATTCTTCGTTTTGCTGGTGCAAGACCATTTGGTCCCAAAGGCTATTTCCCGATACTTTGTCATCCTGGTGTTGTGAAATAACGAGATTGCATGCAAATGAACTCGGTTTACACAAAATAAAAATTATGAAGTGAGAACACAAACATGCCCAAGCAATAAGATAAAAATGGGAGTGCAGGAATGAAGAGCTGGTGACATAAGGTAAGGTCGAATTAGGATATGTCAAAATAAAAAAAAAACTTGGTAATGTGTGATGTTCGCTTGGTAGTCGTCAATACTCGGACAAAGACAATGAGCGCCAGACCAGGTATACAAGTGCACCCTTTCAAATAAATTTTGTTCTACTGAAAGCTCTGCTTCACAACCCTCAAGCATCCACAAAGGCAAAAAAAAAAAACATGAATTTTAGGAGCGTGACTTAGTCCAGTCCTATTAAGTATATGTTTATACTCATTCTGATAATATAAGGGATAAACAAATGCGAATTTGTGTTGTATTCTCATATTTAGGGAAACATTTTTAGCTGTCAGAACTGATGAGTTATAACATCAGGTGCAGGTGGATTTTTGTCACTATGGCATCTGTTTATCTATTACTAGCATTATTTTTTCCCACCTGCCTATCAATCTATTGCTGGTATTTAGCTATCATACTTTCTCAGACGCGCTTATAACGAATAGAGAAGTCCCAAAGTTTCGGGCACGCCCATGATTCAGCTCTTTCAAAAAACACAACAGAATTACTTCACAATGCAAAAGGTGCTTCAAAATAGCTTAAATTTGGGCCACCTATAATATTCTTGAACTGCTTGCTTGAGACTAGTGAACTAAATCTTGACAAGTTTCAATAGACGTGGCACCATTATTGCTCAGTGCCTGATTTCCGTGTGAAAACTACTATCAATCTCGTATATTATGTTAGGCTAATATCTTTCAGCGTAATTTATTAACTGGCATCTTTTTTTCGACAGTTTAGGAATTTGTTATGTCCCCTGGTGTTTTCAGCTTATTTGAATAGAATAATTAATTAAAATGAATGTGTGCCTCTTTCCTCGATATTCACATGAATAATTTTCGGCCAGTATTTCTTACATTTCCCGATGTCAGCTTCTTTGCTGCCCTACCAAGCCTTCGAGCATTGTTCATTTGCTTTAAATAGAGTCGTATAGTCAGGTCAGTAGAGCCAAGGACGGCCTATGAAATGACCCAGCACAACCAGTATATATTAAGAAATCAGAACATAAGTCGATCGAAAGCTCGTTCGTAAAGGAGACAAAACAGTTTTCCGGTAGAAAGCCTCGCAATTGTCGACGAGTTCTTCAGTTTATGAGGCACATTTAAAACCATGCTCACTGGTGCAGTATACTAGGTTTAATATCACAGCTCAATAGTAATCGAATGCTAAAAGAAATACTCACGGACTTGTTGACGAAGGACTTGAAGTCTTTCACACAAATTTCTCTCAGAACATCTGGGTCAGCAACAACAAGGCTCGGTATGAGGCCCTGGTATGACCTGAAATGTTGTAATGAATTTTCTGTCTCACCAATATGTTCGCTTGGTCGTCAAACACAAACATGTTGCGGCCGAACAAAAAAAGAGACAGAAGCTACCGTCAAAGCAAAACGATAGATTTATGAAATGCAGATTCTTGCCTTCAATGTCTCTATAAATCAATGTGCATTTTGCTTGATAAACTGTTCAAGTATGCTTCTGTGCTATAGATGCAGCAAGGAAATGTATCTCACGTGGCATTTTCATTTTAGCGCTTTCCTTTACGCCTCTCACGTATGATGGGGAAGCATTTTGTAGAACGGCTCGCAAAGAGAAATTATTCATGCTGTTACACTTCAGCAGAGCCGTAAAAAATGTTTTCTTCACGCAAGTTATTATTTCCACAAGCTAAATTATCTCTAATGCTGGAATAGTAGTGCGAGAAAAATGGTTAACTATACACCAATACAACACACACACACACACACATATATATATATATATATATATATATATATATATATATATATATATATATATATATATATATATATATATATAATATATATATATATATACAATGTGATGTTTAAGTAGACATGAACAAAAAACTTTGACGTACCTCGTACTACTAACTTATAAAATTATTAGATACAAGATAGAGGGTGCATGCCATCTTCCTTTTCTTCAGGTGGAATTGAAATGGTTCAATATTATGTTTTACTCTTCGGTCAATATCAGCTAAGAGTACATCCGCATAAAAACATAGAGTGTTTAAACTCTGTGCCCCAATCACGAGCCTCCCCCCCCCCACCCCGAGTCAAGAATGTACGAACCCGTATAACCGGCCATAGCGCTTGTAATTTCGGAGAGCAACTTTATTGAGCTCCTGTAAAAAAAGACAAAGAGGAGAATGTAAGGCTTATCACCTCAGGTGCTCTCATTCAACGCTTTGAAAAATAAGATTATTACACGTGTTCCCGCGGACGGGATGTTATATAATTTATGGTAAGCAGGCGCTGCTATTATCATGCTATTTTTAAAGCGGTGCATTATGTATGGTCGACTTATTACTACGCCTCAATAAATTTATTGCTTTAATCTGTGAAGCCAAATACAGTGACACACGTTCAATAAAGAGCACCTTGACCAAGAATAGAAGTGAATACTATTGCTCTAGGTTAATTCCCGCATTCTTATTGTTCTTTTTGAAGCATCGTCATTTCTGATGACCATGAAAGTACAGGATACAAATCAATAGCATTCTTTGTAACAGCGTAGTCGCCTATGCACGCGTTCACTCACAATACAAGTCCGAATTCGGTCTACTTCCATGTTAGTTGTAACTCAAATGTACACTTACTCCTGTGAAGTTATCACGAACTGCTCGGATGTATTCGAAAAAAGACAAGTATGGAATGCCCTTCCCTTTCCAGAAGGTAAATGTCTTCGTGAGAATTCTGGAAAACAAAAAGGAAAGATCTGGTGTTTAGTGAAGCTATAAACAGAGTGATTTGCAGACAATGTATAGTGCGGATCGAATGAATCATCTGTCGTCCATGCATGTATAACGGCGACTTATTCTAATGCAGTATATAACAACTGCAAGTTCAGCGTGTTGGTGTCCAGTTCATGATAACTCTTTCACAATGCAATAAAGCATAAATCATCAGAGTTCTCGATCATTCCTGCATTTTGTGTTCTGTGTTCATTTACAGAGAGAGAGAGAGAGAATGAATGTAGGAAAGGTAGGGAGGTTAACTGGACTATGCGTCCACTTTGCTACCCTACACATGGGGAGGGGGAGTAAAAGAGAGAGAGAAGTATAGACACATGTCACATCACACATACAATGCCGAGTTTCACAGGCGGTCCCTGAATGAAGTTGCTGTCAATTCTCTCAGGAGGACTCATGTGGCTTTCTGGGCTGATGTGCTGCGCGACCAGGCTCCTAAAATCTTTGCTTCATTAAATGGCTTTGAAGAATAATTATTACCTGGTCCAGTTTCATGCGTTCAAAAAGATCTGCTATGTGAAAGATAATTGCTTATTAAATCTAGTGCGATTCAAGCCAGTTTTAATTTTGTTGAGTTTACTTAAATGCGGGTGCACTCATGCGCAGGTAGGAAAGTATCTACTGAACTGAAACTGAACGCGGGCGTAAAATATGAAAAATTTTGAATTATCGACTTCAGGTATATTATTCTAAAGAAACTTTACCTATAAGATGTGTAATACTTCAGCAGGTAGACTCCAAATGAAAGAACTAAGAACACTTTCCTCTGACTAGTAAATTTATCTCGCCATACTGCAAGAACTTAATCTTGTCAGTTCGGGCTAATGTGATGTCATGTTCAGTGAAATTACGAATGTTAATGTTGAATTATTGAACCCAAACCTTTCTCCATCCGCATTACATGAAGTCTAGCTGACGCACTGTTCTTCCTGGTATACAGCTAAACAGGCGAATATATTTGTAAGTTCTTGTAAAAAAATCACACGTTTTGCCTTTTGTTGTGATAAATGTGTGGCGAGTCATTCATCTTCCGCCACAGTTCAGTCGGAATGCAATTCGTCACTCAGAAATAAGCTACGCTCTTGTTCTTAGTTAAATGGAGTCAATCTGCTGTGCCTTCATAAGCTCTATGCTGCACTCGTGCAAGAATGAACACTGTCCTGAATTTGAGTTGTTGACACTTTGCACTGTGTTAGCAGTCTACGATATCAGCAGTCAGAGTCCTCCGCAATGTACTAGGACTTTCAAAGTGACAAGTCCTACGAGCTTAAACACAAGCCTATCTCGTGTTTCAGTATCGCTTCGAGAGGTTTGTTTACTTTTCAACAATGCCTGCAGTCCTGCAAGATGCTCGCCTGTCTGCCGCGCCAAAGTATCATATCGTCAATGTCTCATGTCGTCCTTCCACCTCGCTTTTGCTTTCTTCTTTGCGGTTACTTCTACGCGTGCGGGGATTTTCTCGGGAATCAGCTACAAATCAGTGTTCGTAATCAGCGTGCGCATCAGGGATGCTATGCTCACCCGACTATGAGAAAGACGATGCTGAGGAGAACGAGCAGGATGGCGTGCAACATGGTGGCTGCTGGCAGCGTACTCTCGGCTCGGCGAATTTGACAGTTGTGTGAGCCAGAGAGAACAAGGAAGGCGATGTCTCTCCTGAAAGCCCGGAGGGAAACAAAATACGAGATTAGGCGCGTGCGATTCTTTTGCCGACTTTTGCATTCTCTTCGATAAACGAGCCGGTCATCGCGATAAGGAACCGGCGGAGAAGCCAAGTCGGGGAGATAAGCGAGCCCCGGAGCACGTACTTGCTACACGTGCGGTGAAATGACGCGGCAAATTGTCTGAGGCATACACGGGAGCAGCGCGATATGGTTGGGAAACCTGTTTGGAAGAGACGTCACAGACAGCGGGCAAGGGTTTTCCGTGTTCTCACTTCAGCCTCCGATCAGACATACCACGTGCCGATATTCGAGGGCACCGAACACTTCTTCGGGCTAACTTCGATCGTACGCCTTTCCTGCAACGCTGGTCAGGGCAAGTGCACTGCGTAGGTTGATAATATTTGACGATGATGATGTTCATGATGATATGATGATGGTGATGATGATATGTGGGGTTCGGCGTCCCAAAATTACCATATTATTATGAGAGACGCCGTAGTGGAGGGCACCAGAAATTTAGACCACCCGGGGTTCTTTAACATGCACCTAAATCTGAGCACACGGGCCTACAACATTTTCACCATCATTGAAAACGCTGCCGCTGCCACCGGGATTCGATCGCACGACCTGCGGGTCAGCAGCCGAGTAGCTTAGCCACTAGAACACCACGGCCTGGCACTGATAATATTTGAGTAGCTGTTATGAAGGAAGTCAAGGGAAGAGCTTGGAGAACGGCGGGGTTGTTTAGTATGCAGACGTCGCTCGTCATTTTTTGCACGCTTCTTTGAAAAAGATTGTATTGTGACGTCTCCAAGCGTGAACGATGCTCTACCGTATGAAAAGCGCATTGCCACATCGCTGTTTCGCTGCCCGTGGTTCGTGTAGGGGATGGGTCCGCGTGCACCTTCATTATACGGCGATATTCTTACACAGGAATTGTGTTCGGAACAGTGAGCGTTGAAATATTATTAAAATCTTGAACGATGAGACCCCGATAACTAAGTAGAACTAGAGCATTATAAAGAACGCGAATCCAAAGCGCGTAGGTGAGAACTGAAAGTGAAAATGGAGTGCTGTGTATATATGGTTACATTGTGCAAGTAGAGGCGTATTGCGGTATAGACTGAATTCGACTTGAAACATCGGCTTTTCACCTTCGCTAAATGTTTCTAGAAATTCATGTTTGCCTGCACCAGTAAACTGCACGTCGTATGTGACAGGCCTGAAAATAGGACAAGACCTCATGCTCTTCACCATGCTTTGACCTTGTGTGTCCTCTTTCACACTGTTTCACGTTTCACAAATATTTACATTTTTGCCGTAATGATATATCGTTCTACCTTGTTGAAAAATCATCTCACTCATTTGCAGCACCATTTGCTATGCCCTTTCTCTTTGATAGCAAGTTCTCATTAATAATTTGTGTCCTTGTAGTCATATATCTCACCCAGTGGAGTACTACACGCAACAAATAACTTCACTGGCTCTCCGCTCAGCATCAGTATGAGTTACTAGATATTAATAAACAGCTAGGTTCTTTACACATGCACTGCCCGGACGACATCTAATACACGGCTTCCACCAATCAGTCATCGCCATGCACATCACAGTGCTGCCAAGCCGGAGCGCTAAGCCCCGGTCTATGGCTATGATTGGACGGCCTTCATTATACCATTTCTAATACTTGCTGCGGTTCGCGTTTCGTTTGACGCTCATTTTATATACATAGATACTCCTCACGTCAGTTCATTATATAACTCACAATATAGCTTCGGTGGTTTTTAAACAGCGGGAACACACACCTCACACTAAATATACAATTTCATCTATTAGAAAATCTTCAGACCACTTATGGTCTTGAAATATTCACCGATTGTGTTCAGTCTATTATTGAAATGTGTCCCGCTTGAGGCCAGTGTACGCTGGTTGTTGTCCTCTCCATCACGTCCCTCTTCTTGCCGCTCTTCATCGACTGCCTTGCCACTCCGTCGTCACCCGCTTGTATCAGGCCGTGGTCGAATTCGCGAATATTCTACACGACTCACATGTGCGCAGCAGAGTGAAAGCCAGGGAACTGGGCATATATTTTTCGTAGGTTCTGCGGCGTAGAAGAACGTGTGCCGGCGGCAGCCACATTTGCTTCTCGAATTCCCCTGATTTTGCCTGGTGTTCACTTTGACGACGAGTGTTGTTTGTGGTGGTGAGGTGGTGCGCAATTGTAGAAGCGACCGTTGCAGGCGCCTTTAATTGATTGATCAGCTGGCACCGTCTGTTCTAATGCGCTTTTGAGGGCTGTTCCAACGTTCGCTTGTGGCAGTCGTTCTCCTCCGAAATGTTGTTTAGAGCCTTAGTGCAAGCCTCTTTGACTCTTCAAACTGTTCTGAAGTGACGTCCTTTCAGGTCAGTTTTCAAACGCTGAAACAAAAGTGAATTCGTAGCAGCCATATCAAGACTGTAGGGCACCTTGGGAACCCTTGGCACCTTTGAATCGACGAGAGCGAGGGTCCAGGCGAGAGAGATAGAATAAACTTTGATTGGCGAATGTATATATAGAGAGCCTTCTTCGGGAGGGGGGGGGAACTCAGTTGAGAGCTTATTGCCTTACGAGACCGTAGGGCTAGCTGCTGCTGTTCCTGCCGGCGTAAGCTGAGCAGTGCAGACTCCCAAGAGGAACGGGTGGAGTTGGAAATGGGAGGAACACCCTGCGAAGCGGAACATTCTCACGTAGAGTGTTTACTGTCGGTACAGAGCCACAGAAGGGGCAGTAGGAGGGGTACAGAGTTGGATGAAAGTGATTGAGCATGTACGACACAGAAATGAAATGGTCTGCAGTTGCCGCTAAGCGGTAGCATCTGCTCGTTAAGTGAAGGATGAGGAGGAGGATGTGTATAACGGCTCCTTCGGTAGTAATCGATACAAAGGGGGTGTAGACAGCAGCGTTGTCATCAGCTAATGGTCGTTGACGGGCGTCCAGCTTGGATTTCGTTGCTGACTTTTTTACGACCTTCTGAAGAGGCGTTATGCCACCGGTACACATTATATCACCACTAACAATTATACCCAAAGGTTCTCATCAAATTAAGTACTTCCACTTTGGTCTTGTCAAATTTTGCAAAAACAAAAAAACTCGATGGCGATTTCCATAGTTCGAAAGAACACTGCATTGTGGCTTGCACGAAAAATGAAAACGAGTTTTGGGCAAAAGTCTCTCCTCGCCTTCAAGGTGGTACCACACAACAGTGCTACCGCACGTGCATAAGCTGATTTAGCCCTCCACCATATGAAGTGGCCCTAGCTTGTGAGGTACAGACGCTTTACAATTTAATCATTGACATTACTTCTCAGGACAACCCAAGCCATCTTGAAGAAACACGGGAGGAATAGGAAATAAAATGGTGCTCAGCATATTCTAATCACCGAGTTTCTTTTTTTTTGATGAAGCAGTGCACAAAAGGATACAAAAACACACACATATAAGGAACACAAACACAAGCGCTGTATACAGCGCTTGTGTTTGTGTCTTTGTGTGTGTGTGTTTTTTCTATCCTTCTTTGTGCTGCTTCAGCAACAGATAAAAGCTCAACAAGTAGCCCATCAGTACACATTAAACAGAATTTTCATCGCACTTGTGGCAATTTCAATGATCACACGTGCCATCAGAAGAGTAAAGGGCGTGTCGTGCTAAGACCGCTTCTCAGTGCACATTGTCACCGACGTTCATCATTTCATACACTTCGAGCGTATCGCATCACCGACGCAAGATCTGTCACTCAACCGCTGGACGAGAGTGTTATCAACAGTGTAAATTGCCCTTCTTTGGCGTCACGTTTTGAGCTGGAGTGCGTCAAGGACTCATCGTTGTCAGATTGGTCAAATGTAGCTGGGAATATTAGCAGCAAAGTTGCACGATGGCTGATTGTCTTTCACTTCTTCGAGACGCGGACCACGCCAAGCCTTGGTTAGACGCTTTCGAAAACACCTGAAGTACTTAAAATTAGCAGTTCGTGTATTAGATTTGCCAGTCTTTTACGACAGCTTAACACAGAAAACGAATTTCAACTCATGATTACGGAGTGTGACAAGGAAAGCGGAAAATTAGGTCTTAATATTAATCTGCAGGAAGTGATAGTAATGTTCAACAACCTCGGAAACGACCAGCACTTCGAGATAGGTAATCGTGCACTTGAAGTTGTAAAATACTATGTCTACTTAGGACAGGTGATAACCGCGGAGCCGAACCACCAGACTGAAGTAATTGGAAGGATAAGAATGGAGTGGAGCACATTTGGCAAGCACTCTGAAATCATGACAGGTTGATTGCCACTATCCCGCAAGAGGAAGGTATATAACAGCTGTATCTTGCCGGTACTTAGCTACGGAGCAGAAACCTGGAGACTTACAAAGAGGGTTCAGCTTCAATTGAGGACGACGCAGCGACCAATGGAAAGAAAAATGGTAGGTGTAACCTTACGAGGCAAGAAGAAAGCAGAGTGGAATTAGAGAACAAACCGGGGTTTTGGATATCATAGTTGAAATCAAGAAGAAATGGACATGGGCCGGGCATGTAGCGCGTAGACAGGATAACCGCTGGTCATTAAGGGTAACTAACTGGATTCCCGGAGAAGGCGAGAGGGTTAGGGGGAGACAGAAGGTTAGGTGGGCAGATGAGATTAAGAAGTTTGCGGGTATAAATTGGTAGCAGCAAGAACAGGACCAGGTTAACTGGCGGAAGATGGGAGAGGCCTTTGTCCGGCAGTGGACGTAGTCAGGCTGATGATGAGGATGATGATGAACCCATTCTACTGCCACTACACCCCACCTCAGTTTAAAACGAGAATAATTTAAAACGACAACTGAGTTTAAAAGTTGCTTTTAAACTTTAAATGCACGTGGAAACAAAAGTTGACGTTTTTCAACGCCTGAAGTGAATGAAACACTGATATGAGAAGCAGATCGAGCTGCCTGCATTCAATTCTTAAAAAAAAACATCCCCGCTGTCTTCTCGCCATACCAATACGTTAGTGGAGTTCACATACTTATAGAAAACCGCCAATGCCAGAGCATATGGGAACACAAAAAAAAAAGAAAATCCTTTCAATGACGAGTATCTTAAGCATGTGGCCGGCTCAACAAAAGTGTCGGGCGATCACCAGACAGGTGGATGCTGACGCGCAAGGTTTGTGAAGGGAGCAAACGAGATCACAGACGCTATCAACCTTTTTACGAGAAAGAGGGGCGGTCAACGACGTAAAGCTTAGGAAAGCGAAATTCACGGACGTTTTCAATAGAGGTTAAGTTGGCGATCTGACCACGGCGTTCAGGAATTTTTCTAGTTTTCAAGGATACAGTAGATTGCTTTGTTCCCGACATTGTGGTGGCTGACAAAGTCCACCAGTAACCAAATGATGATGTTCGCAGTAAAAGGAAGTCACGCCAAATTTAAAAAGAGAACTGGCAAGAGCTACAAACGCCGTCAACCTCATCTATACTTAATATCCGCTACAATCAGGGAAAACAAAAACATACAGCAATCAGCGTCATTCAACGAGTTTAGTGTCTTCATTATTTGTGCTACGAGAAAATATCAAATGGTAAGAAAGTACACCAAGACCTACCTTTTACACAGTTGGAAGCAGTTCCCGTGTAACTTTCGGAATGCTCCCCCACTATGACTTCTTTAATAAGCAGACTGGGTGCCAGAAAGGCTCACGTGGGTTAAAATGATGCTATAGATAAGCTATGCATCCGGTGCCAAGTCTAATAACGAGGGTATTATTTTATTTTCTTCTCGATTCAAGCGTACACCACATGCGCCCTTATGTAATGTCTAACAAAGCTATTGTTTCTTTTTTTAACCCGTTCACTGCCGACTACGTCGACAAGTGGTTGCTTCCATTCCGGTGTTTTCACACTTTTATTTCTTTTTTTATACCACGAATTTGCTTTCGGCGGTGCCACCTGCACTTTCCAACATTTCATGGCGAGATAAATGCTACGTACAGGAAAAGAAAAAGCTTGACTTGGCGCTTTGCTTGATTCGAGTAGATGCGATAGAAGCAACATTACGTTCAACCATTAGTGGGTAGGAACCCAACATCAGACACACGACTGGTTGAAGGCAGCGCTTCTCCTTCACTCAATAAATAGGAATAATAAAGACGCTTTATAGTTTCATCAAGCTTGATTTGTGTGCTACATTTATTCCATCATCGGACCTCTTGAACATCTTCTGATAGCCTCTCACGGCCCACCTGCTTCGTCACGAGTCTGCGATGGATCTTTTGAGACGCTACGGCACTTACTAACATCGCTTAATACTTCGTCAGCTTGACCCTGATGTCCCATCGAAAATCCTCACTGACACCAGCATCACCAGCCTTGATGCAGGGCATTAAAAACAAAACAAAAATTAAAGAGACAACCGGGATACGAATAATATAGCGTTGCTTATGTGATTCAAACTTGAGGAAAGCTGCATGTGTGAAATTATTCGGCCTCTGAGAAGGAAGGACCTTCCACGATTTGGGCTCCAGCTAAGTTTTGTCCGTACTTTTATCGTCACCCTTATGATGTCCCCATGAACCACTGTGCTTAAAGTAATTTACCACCCCTGAAAGATCCGTCGGGACACCTCGATCGCTGGGCTCTTCCGCTTGAAGAGTACGACTCTCGTGTTCTGTACCGATCAGGCCGTATGCAATTTGATGCTGATGAGCTCTCCCGCTGACCGCTAGCGTCTGACATGGCTTCTTTGTCAGTCGCCAATCAACATCGCCGACATGCCATCGGAGCGACGCAATGATCCGTCGGCGGATGTGTAGACAGAAATTTTGGGGCACCCTCTTGAAATGGGTATACTTTTCTCTGTATCCCATAGCGAAATCGAATTCGAGTGAGGGTGGGCGCGTGCCTAGTGTGCCACCCCTTGGCTACGCCCCTGTTCATGGGCATTTCACGTGCTCGACTTCCTGCCAAGAGTCCCGTTTCGTATTTCGAGATGGCTGCCACTGTCGGTGCCGTTAAGCAACCTGTGGCAGGAGGTGGCTGCTTGCGATAACTCGCCACATATTCACGGAAATGTGCACTGCTTTCTACACCGGCTCGGAAGCACTCATGCCGGTGCTCTCAGGACATACAACCACCTGCGCCAGCGATACTATTGGCAAAAAAATGTTTTGATTTATTTGCCATCATATGCGCACTCATACTGCCTGTCAGAGATGAAAGGCATCACCTCAGTGACCAGCCAATACTACCTCCGCATCTCCCGTACTGGCACGTCTATTTGACCAAGTTGTTATAGTTTATAGTATAGAAATAGTTTATAGTGTAGTTTATAGTATAGAGTATAGAAATGCAGCCTTGCTCACAACAACAACCAGAGGGGTTGCGTTTTTCACCTTGAGCAAACTTCGTCATGTGCCATGGTGCTCCCCGCGAACACGCCGGAGGACGTGTTTTTTGCTCGAAGCTGTTCAAGCATTTCTCATTCAGTGGAACACCTTACACCACATGACGACCGCGTATCATCCTGAAACCGATGGCCTAACCATAGGTTGCACCACACTCTCCGTGATATTCTGGCAATGTACACCGCATCATACCATACAAACTGGGACACCGTCTTTCATTTCATGGCAATCGCGTACAACATTGCTACGCAAGCAGCCAAGGGGTTCTCGCCATTACTTTTTGCGCAGATGGACGTCATCATGTGCGCTGGACCCCATCCTTCCTTACATGCAAAACGCATCTGCGTACAGTCTGACTACGGACGTTGCCAGCTACGCTGATTTTCGACAGTCTGCCTGTTCATTTCTGACAGAAGAGCAAGGTCGCCAGAAGCTTAGGCGTGACAACAACCGACCTCGCGCTGCTTTCAAGGCGGTTGCCCCCGTCTGGCTATGGGTCTTAGCAAATACTCACGCAGTTTTCTCCAAGTTAGCAACCCGATATCCTGACCTCGAACGCATTCTGTTCTCAATCACGAGATTCAGCCGTTGAATGATGTGGTGAGTTGTGCCGTCACGACCGAAGACATCATGCGCATGTGTCCCATCAAGACTTATCCTGACCCACATATATTAAGAAAAAGCCTTAAGTCACAGGATCGTTTTACTATTATATGAAGAAGCAGCTGAGAAATTTGAAGCGTAGGCTTCGGAATGGAGCACCTTCATGCTTCCTTAACGGCAACGGCCTCCTAACGTCCTGGCGCGAGTCCTGTCACAGGCTACGCTGGCATCGAAGGTGAGCTGAGGTGGCCCTCCAGACGTGCATTCAGATGCCCAAATAAAGTGTGGCTATGTACTTGAGGTGTATGACCCCTCTGTTCAATAGAGCTGGTCCAAACATGCCGAAAGACAAGTAGCTGCGGCATTTGATGCGAGGTGCGAAAGAGCTGCTCTTTGGTGAACTTGTTCGTAGTCCCCCTAAGAGCGGCTCTTTCGTATACAACCTCCGGTACAGACGAGTCCGCCTTGTCTGGCATGGAGGTAGTAGCGTTGTGTGTCAACAGCGCGTTGACACAAGGAGCTACAATGTCCGCCACAGACAAGCTGATTACCAACTGGGTGGCCAGGTGCTAATTGGACCTCTGTGCACCGCAAAGATCCTTCTGAAAAGCTTTTCAGATAGCATTGCGGCCTTTACAATATGCTGAGACGAGTGAGAGACGTCAACTACGATGTCCTTCATTATGGAAGCCGACCACCACAACGTCGACAGCCATGACTTGCATGTGGTGCAGCTCAAACCACACTGGACAGTGTGACACTCATTGTTTTGGGAATATTATGTTGTTATGCTTATAGTAAATGCCACGTTAAGCATCGATGCGATGCTTCTTCGGGAAGATGGCAATGCCATGCGCTAATCTGCCTGTGAGAAAGAAGTGGACCAAGACGCAGTACTCCTCGCACCACTGCCTTTGTTCTGGCTCTGCTGCACTAACCAATTTTGGGACCTGGGCCTTGTAACGGGGTCTTGTAAACGTCGCCTTTATTTTGAATATATCATATGCTTTACCGTAGCCCCCTCTTTATACTTCATTTAGACAATTGTACTCGTCTTTACTCGCATGTTTTCTGTGAGAAACGTTCGCTCGAATACGGGTTATTGAAATTTTGAGGGTGCCATTATTTAACCCTACAACTACTTGCACCTTACGTGAAGCTAGCAACGATGCATCCCAGTGCAAAACGAAATAGTAGTCTATTTGCAACTCAATTTTATCGCATTAATATATTACAGTGAGCCTATGAGAACTGCGATTGAAAAGTTGATTTGCATGTAATCGTGTGTTTCATATGTGCTGTAGCCTCTTTAGTTCAGTGCCTAATCAGACTGCGGGGCAGAAGGCGTTAGCTACTAGTACGACACATTGGCGTAGCCGGGGAGGGGGGATCCACGAATTTAAAATTTTGCTTGTGGGTATACGCATATATACTTACAATCACAACCACAAATCACATCTATAAAAGCTGTTGGAACAAACCCCCCCCCCCCCGTCCCTCATCTGGAAAATTTTCTGGCTACTTTGCTGACTACGTATGCAACATACTTTCAGCAACATTTTCCCTGTCCCTGACAGCTGCTGCGCTCTGCTGATTTCGCTTCAAGACCTGCGCTAGCTCGGGGTCTGTTTCTCCCTTTCTTGCTTTTTTTCTACCGCTGTCATGTATACACGTGTAATGTGCTGAGCTATGGCATGTGCACGCACTAGCACGTTAAAGCGTTTCGTAAGCTCTGCGTGACTAGCGCAGCTGTTGTAGTAACTGCAATATATGTCTTCTCGAGCGATGTACACCGCCAACAGAGTCTGCATCCCACAGAGAAACTTTTTTTTTTACAGGAAAGTGATAGGCATAACTTATCACTGCTAAAGTTCTGGGAAAAATTACACTTGGTAAGCTACAGAGTGGTTGCACCATGCTGTGCAACCGAAGGTTGCACAGCATGGTGTGCAACCGAGGCACACCATGCTGTGCCTCGGTTGCATACGTCGGGTATACGTCCAAGATCATAAATATTATTGCATCAGTATCCGGAAAATGGCCCGATTTATACTATAGGGAATAGCTAACCATTTGCACAGTTTTCGTCGTGATACACAAAAGAAGACAACTTTGAAGCCACACCTGCATATCCCGCTTTTAGTCGTTAGTTCGTTAATATATTTCGGGCAATGTTTGCTTCACTCTAGAACTCCGCATGCGATGCTTCGTCAAAGAAGTTGCACATACGAAGTAAACTATCTACGTGCCAGGTAAAAATGAATGCTATTAGTGGATTTTATAGTTGGAATTAGGAGCTGGTAATTAATGGAAATGTTTTGTAAAGAGGACCACAGTGCAGTCCAACACGACAAGCATTCGGCAACGAGATGAGGGAGAAAAAAAAAGCAGCTGTCATGTGACATACGTTATTTAAATTTTGTTGTGATAGACTTGTCCTGCTTTGATATATAGCCTATTAATGGTGTAATGTTACCTATGCTATGATTGCTGTAGGTTTGCGAAACTTTATTGCTCTAAACTGAATTAAACTTCGAAATATTGTCGTGTTCGGGTATCTACGGCAAATATTGAATGCTGTGCGCAATGAAACATGAGGGTGGCGCTTGATGGCACCGACACACGTAATTTCTTGCCTTGCGTTTGGTCACATAGCGTATCACAATCTCCGAGTGCTTTTCACTGTAATCGACTTCAATTTCGGCCCAGCATGT